ATTAGTAAGAAAAGTAATTATTTTATAGCAATCGCATAACTTTAATTTTCTTGAAACGTAATTTCATTGATGAATTCATAAAATTAATCTACCTACACTTTTAGAACCCTATATCAATTTATTAATATTTCTAAATATCTAACTATTTATTTGTAAATTATTATGTACTACAGTTTAGTCATGATAATTTATAAATTTAATAATAATAAAAAAAAATTAAATTATGGATATCATCTCAAAAGATTTAACAAGTCAATAACGTTAGAGCACGTCATAATATAAATATTTAATCGAATGATCAATGTTTTTTAATCAGTTCGATGTTGTGTATAATATAATAATAATATAATGTATATAATACTATTAGTRCTTAAGATATAAACTAATTGTAATTTTAAMTAAAAGTATTATTAATCGTCCAATGATCATGATAAATATTATATAAATTGTTAAACAAATTTCAAAAAAAAATCTGCTATAGACTTATTCAGTTAAATTCAGTGTTATTAATAAAAATTTTCAAAAATTAAACATTAATACTTCATACAGTAAATAAAAAAGTTGATTGATAATGTTTTGTTGTAATACGTTAAACAGTTTAGACTAATATATAAAAATATAAATTATCCTAATAGAAACTTTTCTTATTTTACATTACAAATCAATATAATTTTTTTAATAGTGCATAATATTGTAATATTGACCAAACTTAACAAACATAAGCGAAAATTAATAAAATCTTACTTGGAATATAGAAATATTTCAACTCTTTTTTTATTATTTAAACGAATAAAATATTACTCCAATTGAAATAATATTTGAATTAACTAGTGAATGTTAATTTTATACAGGGTAATTCATGAAACATATGCTCATTTCTCACCCGATTTTTTCCTGAAAAATAGTCATGGCTCCACTCAAAATTTAAAATAGTTGTTTCGTTTACCACACAAGCCATCTTATGATGAAATTGTTAATGTTTTCAAATTGCTGTAAGAAAAACTTATAAGAAACTCGATATTAAGAGGATATTACACGTAGTTTGTAGTGCGGAAACAGGATTTACATGAATGAATAAATAATGAATACGGCAGAAGCTGTRGTTCTATTATGTTATCACAAMAATTTATTACTAGATAAATAATTAAAGAAGAATATTACTTATGTGCTTAATAAGTGAGACAATTTATTGATTTGTGCAAGACTAATTTTTTTAAACAAAACACGTAGTGAACACGACTACATTTAAAGCAGAGCATTTTATTGATCTATATCAGAATCAAATTATTATATTATAAAAATAACAATTTTAAAACCTTAGGAAATAAAATTGAAAATATAATGAATATTTAACTAAAAAATAATTTACAAACATCTATGATTTTTGTTAATATTTGGACTTCAAATGCTWATAAATTATGAGGTGTTGAACGAGTGGAATTTAAAATCAATGATAAATTATTGTTTACAAAAATAGGTTTGAGTTTTCATTGTCATTGGCCTATTGCCTATATTATAATATCTATGAAAAAATGTATGCTGCTAAAAGTAATTTCTATTTCTATTAGTAATATGGTGGTTAAACTAATTTTTTCCAAAAGTAAAATCGCATATATTATAATATTATTTCATACAATATTACTAGCTGTTTTTAATACATAAGTTGTAAGTTATAACTTTATTAGTAAGTGCCGACCAAAGAACGGAAAGAATAAGATTATTATATAAACTATAAGACATAAAGCTTAAAGTCAGTCTAAATACTTTGAAAATTATAATTAGTTAATCATAAATCATAATATACGTAAGGCTGCAGCGGTGAYAACTTTAGGTCCCTACTAATAATATTTATAGAACCATAACAAAAAAAAATAAAAAAAATAAAAAAATTTTAAAAGAGAATGTATTTGATCTAGATGTCGTCAAAATTTGATCAAAAATCATTTAAAAAAATATATCTATGTAATAACACACACTTTTTACTCACAAAAATAATTTTATCATACATAAATCAAAAAGATTTAAAATAATATAAGTACATATTTCAAATTACTCAAAACATTTTATTTGATAATTATTACACCATGTCCTGATAATGGTTATGTACACATTTGGTGAAAATGTTTAGTCTTTTAATMCCCGCAGTACCAACAAGATACAATTTTTCACCAGAAACTACAATCGAAGTTGAATATTGAAGCATTTTGACTTAATAAAAGTATTTAAAGAATATTTTTTTTAAAACACAACATTGTAAACCTGTGACAWAAGCATCAAAGAAAATTTTAAAGAAGAAATTATAATTGCTTCAATATTAATATTTTATTTATTTCAAAATATATAAAATCAAAAATAACCCATAATATTATAATCCTACAAATTTTTATTTTTGTTCACAAAATGCATAAAAATAAAACGCAATAATTGTTCGTAATAGGTAGTTTTGTTAACTTAATTTCCAATACGGCATAGATGACACGAAGTATTTAGTTACTTAGAATATAATGTTATAGCTTTATAGGTAGGTAACACAATAATTTAAWCGTTTTATCGTTATCAGATAATATATTTGTCAATTAATATTTGCTATGTTTTAAAGATTTATTTCTATTTTTAATTCCTGGAATGAAACACGCAGCCTAAAGGCAAAAGATAACTATTTAGAATATTTGCATTTTTGTATGATATGATTTAATTATTTCATAAMACGGTTTGGCAATTATGCCTTCCACCACTATTTTATTAGTCTAAAAATGACTTCAAAATGTTGCACTTGAGAAAATTGTTTTTTTGAATTTTGATCACTCTCCATCTGCCTAATGACATCAAAGAATATACCATATTAATCTTAAATATAAGTAAATAATTTTGTCTGTAGAGAAATATTTATATAACGATGATAAATAACGTTTTTAAACTATTTTTCCTGTAYTGTTATATGATTTTATTCCGTGTTAGCTTGAAGCATAAATAGTGGTTCAAACAACAGCTATATTCGGTAAATGCATTTAAAACATTATAATATTTAGGAGTTTGTTATACCTTATAGTGGCATCGGGTTCATGGGTCAATATTCTTAATGGTCAGTTTTGAATTATAATAGTTGTAAAACCGTGTTTCAATACCCGATAGGCGATAATTATTATGTTATTTTGTTTAAAAAAAATGAATTGTATCTTTTAATGCCATCTCTGAATCTATTGATCAAAATATTCATGGATTACTTTCACCAAAAATGTAAAAAACGAAAAATTACAAACATTGTAAGACTTCAAAATCTTATCTATATACTTACCTATATTTAATTTACATAACTCTGTATTATTATATTGCTTATAATATTATAAATTATCGCGTAAGAACTTTATCTTAATTACTTTTATTGTTTTAATTTTTTTTTTTTAGTTGAATAAATTAAATTATATTGTTTTATATAAAGTATAAATATTAGTTCCTAATCGTTACAAACTACAATAGTCTATATTTTAGAAACGAGAACGTGTTTGTAGGTTTATTTTGTTTAAATCAAGCTGCTGGCGTTTTTATGTAAAAACTCCTTATTAAATTACGTCAGTGTAATAGACATAATTAGATCGGTTTATAACAAACGAGTTTCCCTTTCTTGGCCTTAAAATGTTCAGTACAATTTTTGATTCAAGGTGGATAATTTAAAATTTTTGAAAACAAAATATAAATACATTTAAAAATTCCATAATTTATTAAATTACATTTTTGRGATGATTAATTATTAAAAGRCATTACAGTCTTATCAGAATTTACTAATAAAGTAGAATTATAACAGATTTGGTAAACCACTGATATTATAGATATAATCCACTTCCATCAAATAATACAATAAACTAGAAATTTAAWTGATTAAATATTTTAWATTATTATCACGGTTGTAAATCATCATTATATGTTGTAGTCGTTGTAGGTATTACGAAATGTTATTGTTTATTTTATGTAAAGATCATATTTTTGTGCAGAGATCATTTTTTTTTCAAACAGTTATTAATTGGATAAAATAAGTTTAAATCTAATTSTGATCTTAAATTCTTAATTTTTAAGGTGTATAATTATTAATGTTACTAATATTCATCCAAGAAACTCGATAAAAATGTATCATTTTAAACTACATCACATGTAAGTATAACCTTAAAGGGTGAGYTATATGTATTCTCATAGTATCAATCTGTAATCATTGAACTATAATARTTTTATACTGAAATTTCTTAATACAAAAAAAACAAACCTTAAAGGGTTTTTCTTCAAGATGAATCATATCTGAATGAATGTTAAAAAATAGTTGACATTATCTTTTAGGCCGCAAGCATTGAATTTGTAAACGAAATATAATACGCAAAATTTATATTTTTAGTCCTTGTTAATAGTTTTCTATACCTATGAAGGTACACTGCAGTGTACACTGTACRGTTTTATTCGACAAACAATAAACATAATTTGTGTCAATTAATACCAATAATGCCCAAAGGTATAGGATTTGCTACTTAACACGCAACCCTGCAGAATATTTCCCTGGHGTGTCTTATAATCTTTTACTTTATCAACATGATAGGTTTGAGAAATGTTACTCGTAACATACGACAGTAGTAGGTATAATAATTTTATTATATCAGGTAAAAACCTGCTCAGATACCTACTCTGTGTCAGTGACGTATCTACTAGTAATTATGAAATAAACTAATTTCGATTATTTTCGACGTTTTCATTTTATAAGTAGGAAGGTATTCCTACGTAACCTAACCTTCCAAAAAAAAAAAAAATATATGCAAAAAAAATGTACCTATATTATATTATACAGATTACATTATACCTGTACAAGAGTATATTATAATATAAATGGTCACTTAACCATTCATTATTGCATGGTAGATGTTATATCATATAAATACTAAATACATGTGCAATGCTTTAAACTAACTTAGYGTATAGTTAAATGTTGATACTTATCCGTGTTTAAAAAAAAAATTAATTACCTGTAGCTAGTTTCGCTGTGTACTCTGGGTTTTCAACGATGTAATCAAGTCCTATTCTAGACTCCATGTCTAGATTCTAATACTCTTTCGAGCAGCCATTCCAAATAATCCTTTTGTTATTACTGCAAATAGTTGTCTACAAAACAAATACAAGAAAAAAACATTCAGTGTTTAAAATATTAAAATTTCATTCATAGATACTACACAGACTGGCCTATATAAACACTTGACATTAGTTAAATGTCTATAACAACGTGGTAAGCAGTAAACCTATATAAGCGTGAAGTGAAAGTGACAATATTCAGCGATTTTGAAGATCAACACCACTACAAAATTACCAAAGAATTATTTTTTAGAAACAGAATATATCTTTACACGTCCGTAAAATTTAGCTAACGTACCATATATAATCTAGTCACAGTTAGCTAGGTACTGTATAATGCTAGAACATAATTAGTTTTAATTTACAATTACATTAAAACGATTAAGATATAGCTATATACGATATACTAACATCACATGTACCGAATCAATAAAACATTTTTATTTATATAAACTAATAATTGGATATAATATAAGATTTTAACAATATGTTACTCGCATGCGTATAAATGTGCTAAAGAATACATGCGATGTTATCAAATTAAATGATTATTCACATCCGACTGCATAATGCACGTATACGTGCTTCTACGATAGTCTTTTATTTTGTTCGTTTGATCAAATTTAAATGCTTTAAGCGTTTATATGTAATAAACATATTATCGGTCAAATGATTTGTGCGTAAATTCTCTCTTTCCCGAGTGGCATTGAACGACACTAAAACACGACTAAGCCTCATGACCAGACATGGTAGTTACTGGAATAATATTATCATCATGCGTGTTGCAACTYCTTTTTTTCGTGTCAATCTTCGTCAAGGACGCAACCGTATCCATTTATATATTATATGATTGTTTATATGAGATTTGGCATGACATATTTCAAAAAAAGATTATTTACTATAAGGTACCGGAAAAGTCAACAATTGAATTTGAAATAATATGAGTACTTATAAGTTATATAAACAATAAATAAATTGTACAGACATTGATTTTTAAATCGTTGAGATGGTCATCAAAATTACTTTTAAATAACTCTAAGGAAATTAATAATATGAGTACGTAGGTTTGCAGAATTATAGTGTTTTTGTAATACGAATATACATGCAGTATCTGTAGTTGCAAATTCGAGACAGACTGTAAGAAAAATCTGTATGCGAAAGAGTGGGTGTCTTCCAACGACCAAAAGGAGTGGCTATGTAATTGTGAAGTCATCATTGAGAGCTATAGAAGAACGAACAGTCGTTAGAAATGTGTATAGAAATAATCTAATGATATTATTACATACAGTAGAATTGAGTAATCTCTGGTATAATATAATTTAAAAACATATTCTTTAAATAATTTTAAATAGGTATGCATATATATACGTCTAAATAAAATGGTCATTAATCGTGAATATGCACTTGTAAAATATAATATTGCCATTCAATAATTATAGGCTTTATGATAATATAATTTCTCTTTAAAATTTATAGCAATACTATAAGTACCGCATAAATTAATACAGTAACATTATAATCGAAGAAATCTATTGAAGTGGACTACAGCACTACACACAAAGTGATAGATGGATAGTAAACAGTTAAGTGTTTCGGCCGACCACAACACCCACATATTTTCTCATTACACGTGTCTTGTCTTTTGAGTAAAATATTTTGACACCTATAAAAATGTAATCTTTATACTACCTTCCTACAGATTTTGATCGTTCACGACCACAAAATGATAATGAATAAATGTATAATGCAATATTTGTTCTTTAACAATTGTACGTTTATACATCGATTTTTCTACTTGTATAGTCTATAAAGATTAGCGAAATACTATAAAGTMATATATTTGGGGTATTGTCCTGTGCACTACCTACAATATGCTAATATACATTTCACAAAAGTGATTATAAAGAATACTATCGAAGTGTTAAGTTATAAAACAAATATTATAAACACCACAGAGATTTTAAATATACTTTCTTTCAAGGATATAAATAGGTATAGCACCTATTGCCTGCAATATATACAAGACTTAAAGTTGTGACCAATGAGCTCAATAGGTGAAATATATCCACCTTTTACTATTTTCAACCATTACTTTTAGAGTAACAAGGCTTGGAGCATTTACCCTACTTAAGCCAAATATATGTATGTGATTGTGATATTGGTATATTCAATTGTAAACATTTTACGGCCGAATCGGGAGAGAAATCTTAAGACAATAAACAATGAATAAATTTTCAAGTAGCTTAGCTGCTGAAATTAAATGCAGTATTGGTCCCGAGAACCCAGTGCACTTTTATTGTATGTAATGTGTACGTGACATATTAGGTAGCCAGTGATTTAAACGAGGGTGAATGAAGTAGATGCATAAAGTCGATGGACTATAAGGTTCAATGGACACCTAATTATTATTCGACATTTTATACTTATTATACTGAACGTTACTATAGTTCAGGAAGTCGAGGTATCTCTTTTCGGTTTATTAGCCACGTAACTGTTTCTGATATATTATTGTTAAAATATAAAATATTGTTTTAATATTCCTGATACGCAATGCAGAAATGACAAATTGGCCATTGTTTTCGACCGTTCACGTCAACGAAACAGGAAGTTTATGACGTCCACAAGATGAGAAACAATGAAAATAATATATTATTAAATGCAGYGCCTATCCCCTACTCAGTGAATTTTCTTTATTGGCTTAGAAAACGATTTTTCCCAAAAATATATACATACGTACAGCTATTATTAATATGAATAACAATCAATACATTATTTGAATATTATTAATAATTAGTTCCCTTGATTTTTCTAGTTTAATTCTCATCTCTTCTTATTATAAAATAATATATCTAATGAGCTTACACAAAATAAAATTATGGTAAAACATTCTTGCCATAATATAAGTTACTAATTAAGTGAATTAATATCTAGTGAAAATGAATCATAATAACTTTATTGTAACTACCAAACATATACGATGGATAGTAAATTATTTTACATATAAATATTAAAATCAGAAAGTTATTTAACTCAATAATTGCTTGGAAATGTATTCAACCTTCTTTTGAAAGTTATAATTTTACATAAACATTATCGACTGTTCTAATCTTTTTGGAAACTTCCAATAACAATAACTGCACAATTAATTAGCATATACACAATTTACATTGAACAAAAATAAATATACCTATTATATTATGTGTCTACATGTATCCCATATTGTATACAGCTAGTATGCATTAATCATTAAGTAATACACTCGTATAATGTTATTTTACTATTTTAGTATTCGTTTATCATAATATTATATGCTTCTACTCTTAATATTAATTAAGTCATTTATATTCCTTGATTTCTATCGTGAAAGACAACTTATAGTYCTAAATGCACCATCACGTACTTCTGACAATCTTACGGATCCCTTTTCAAGAAACTCCATTGAAGTCAAATACCAGATGTACATGTAKAGTATTAGTAAATACATATTATAATATAGTAACATATATTTTGAATTATTTTACGAGTTGTAAATACTATAAAAGTAATAAAACTAAATAACCATTATTTACCATTATTGTTATGGATTTTGAAGTTGGTTTTTAAAAAGTATTGTTTAACTGAAATCATTTGTACCTAATTAGTAATTATGTATTATTTTATGTTATTAACAAGCACATAATACACAAATAATACTTTTAAAATATTTACTGCTGGATATTTATTGAGTAAAATATTCAACGAAGATTTAATAATTTCAAGTGGTAAAATKATGAGGTGATTGTTTCTATCAACAAGTTATTTTTAATGATTTCTTTTCAGAGAACAACCTATTATATAGGTACTTGAAAACAAAAACAAAAATTGAAACGTTTTTGTTTATTATGAGTAAATAAACAGTATAATAAAAATAATAAATAATACCAGAGTCAAGAGTACATTATTTTTATGCAATGATATAATTATAAATATTGTACAATATACAGTACAATTTATATAATACGATGAATAAATATATAAGTATATAGGTATAGTCATATAGACATAATAAACAAAAGTTTAAAATTGTTTAGGACGTTTAGGTATACTAACTGTAATCGAAATAGATATCATTTTTTATTCAAATAAATAAATGAAACTCTTATAAGTTATTATTKAAATAATGTAATTATAATACTAGGTATATTCGTATAGTTATTAAGCTATATAACTATACAAGTATAGTGTTTTTAATTTTTGTAAGTTTACTATTGCAAAAATGAAAAATGATAATGATCAATATATATTTTAAAATTATCTACAGTTAGTAACTTGCCAACATGTGTGTCAAATAGTCATTGAATTGAAAACATATATAATATATATAATTCTAATATAGAATTTTGTTTAGGATATCGCAATGTTCTATGTTGGATTTGTGTCAAATACAAAATAGTAAGGTCGAACGACAGTTGTTAGTGGCGGTGAGTGGTAGTAGGCGAGCCAGAGGAGCCCTTATTTGGAAACTGGCCGTCTGTTCGTCCCGTCCTTTAATATTGTTATTATAACGCCAACCTTGCCCCCAACACAAATGGCTAGTATTAGTCATCTTCATTAATCAAATATGCTTAAAATGTTCAACTTAATGCTATATTATTGGTATTAACACAGGAAGTCGTATAATAAAAGTGGAGATCTAAAGAGAATCAATAAAACTCCAATAATTATATTATATTTTATTACATTGATATTATATTTTAAGATATAATTTTTATTTTTGAGTATTCCAAGTATTTGAAAAATATTTATTTCATTCGCTTTGATTATATCTATGCGTTTGTAACGTCATGATAAGATTAATATGACATTCAAATAGATGTAATATAAGTAGGTTTATTTTGAAATTCAAGTACAGGAAACAGGATGAAGTCATATTTTATTTTACCTAAACTTTAATACAAATTTTATTTATTTTATTGATATATTACGATTTTTTTTATTACATATTATAATCATAATTACTTTTTAAATATTAAGTTTGGACAATTAATAGATTGA